TTTTTTTTCCTTCTTGGTCATTTTGAACAATTTATCATAAAAAACATTATTATTTATATATAAATGTTCATTTTGGTTGGTTTAATGCAATGATTTCCTTTAATTTTGTTTATGATTTCTGCGTTAATTAATATTGTGATATAAGATTAATAACTACTCGGAATAGTACTTTGTGTAGTGTGAAAATCATCGTGTTAGGATTGCATGTATGAAAATTGTAGTGTTTACAAATTATATTATATTTTTTTCTGATGCTATTGTTTTTTTACGGCTAACCGATGGTATGTCGACGCATTATCATAATTTCTGATCGGCATTACTCGTCGATTATCATAGCGACGGTAAACCGATGACAAATGCATGACATATTGGAATTTACGACAGCTTACAAACTAATACTAAGATACAGTTTTGTGATGTCTGCTCCAGTTTCTAAGGAGAGAAACTGTCAGTTAATATCGAAGGAGGCCGACGACTTCGCTACACTTTTTCGTTGGTTCTGCAACACATTTCTGATGTGTTGGACCGTCAGATATAACCTACCGCGTAGCTACAGTATCTAATTAAATTTTATTGTAATAGTTTAGTGTCGTTTGTAAAAAGTCGACACTTATAAGCTATAGATAATTCCATCACCGACAAACATTATAGCTACGTCTTAAAAGATATGTTTGAGCGTCGAAAATTAATAAACCAATGGCCTGTGTATATTTTTGATCGGTTTTTGGCCATCGAAAGTAGACTCATTTCCTATAATTATGGCTGACTCGCCTACACCCATGCCCAGAAATAAGACCAAATTTAGGCCTCCAAGCCGAATGAAGTTTGGCAGTAGGATTAATTTTTTCCGATTAGCGGAAGATCGGTTCCGCGCTAATGGATGTCTTCCTTATGTAATAACTGCAGGATTATTCTTGCCCATCGTTTCAATGCTGATTTGTTTTGCCAAAACTACACACTAATTATCGCCATTGAAGCTTTTCTACAAAGACAGATTTCTTCAAATATTAGTGCACTGCTTGTATGGAAGTCTCTCTCTCTTTGCTGTGATTTGGCGTTTCCAGGCTTGAATCAAAATAGAAACTTAATTAGTATTAAAATAAGGAATTAATTAGACTTTGTACACTGATCCTTCCCTGATATTCTCAATGACAGTGATGCCATGGATGGAAAGCATCTCTTAAGATGATTCATGTGATGAAAGAAGGCAAGCTGTATTGCTCAAATTCGTAGTTATGAAAGTGATGCCACATAAAACAAGCAGCTGTGTTTTTCATTATTGCGTGCGCCATTTGCCCTTAACTCAAAATTTGATGATTGTTCAAATTAAGGAAATTTGATCATCATGGTTCACAGGCGGAGCATGAAAGTTAGGAAAGCATAGAAATATAGAATTATTCATGCATCGCTGACAAGTATTCACTGCCATAAATATTCAAGATCGTAGTAGAGTGCAAAAGTTCAGATCTCACCTTCATGTAAAAATCCGTTGGGTTTAATTAATCTCTTATACAAGAAAGAAACGGAGGAACCAAAATTTCGAAGTGGGTGAGTGATTAGTATTTAGGTTTAAGAATTTCTCTTCTTAAATATTTTAAAATAGTCGGATTGTTTGGGAAGTGGTCTAGTCACTCGAAATTTGTGACATCCTATAGTTTTCGCTCTCTTGGATTCCAAAAATAATTGTTCATAATCGAGTCATCTCCATGTGACTTTTCATGTCCAATCGTGAAAATTAAATTTTGAATTCTTGAAAACAAACAACATATCTTAATCAACAGTCTTCTTATGTGATTTCTATTATTTAAGATGTAATTAAAAATAAGGGTTTGCATCTATAAGGAACTAAGAACCCATATAAAATAAATTTTATCTAATATTTATATTATGTAAGAGAACTTGTCGGTCACACATATAAGGCTTCGCAGACCAGATAGATGACATAAATTCTTTAGTTTCTATAATTGGGCCACTTTTTCAAGTAGCATGCTTATCTCCCAGGATGAACGTATTGTTTGTGGGGGTTGTGCTTGATTACTTGAACTATCAAATATATGAAATCTTTGAGATCTCATTTTTTTTAATTAAAATACTATTTTCAAAATCATATATATATATATATGATGCGTGCTAGAAAATTCGAGGCGGTAGAGTAACAGACTAAGGTCTTAGTGTTGTACGAAAGTTCAGCACACACACACAGATGAAAGAAAAACAAGGAAAAACAAGCGGTGATGACGACTCTAGAAGTTTTTACGTGGAAAGTCTGTAAAGGGAAAATCCACAGGGTCTGACCCAGTTGTGAAAATCCACTATTAATTGATGATTACAAAAATTTCCTGTCCCGCAGAAATTGTCCCACAGACAAGAAAGGGTAACTATATTTTTTAGATTACAACGTCGAATGACGACGTCTGGTTAATGGTGATCAATGGTGGTTAGTGGTGGTCGATGATGGTTAGTAGAGGTCAACGACGACCGGCGGTGGTTAAAGACAGTCCGCGGTGGTTGACGACAGTCGGCGGCGGTCGTCGGAGGTCGGCTGAGGTCGGCATTGGTCGACGACGATCGACGGTGATGCTAAGCTGCATCTTCTCCTCAAGATCTCAGGCTCTCTCTCTCTAGACTTCATCCCCCTCCCATGAGAGGGATGAAGCTCTATTTATAGTGTTCTGGGTGCAATTAATGCAGGAATATGAATCATTTTGATCAGACGATCTGGAGAGCTATCCATTTTGATCAGACGATCTGGAGAGCTTCCCTCGTTCAAACAGTGTTTAATGGACATCTGAGTGTCTTAATGATGTCAAAATTAAGTGATCTTGCGCTCGTTGGATTTGTCTTGTCGAGCCGCTCGATTCGTGTATAAAGTTATCATATTCGACAATCGTTTGACCTTCCAAATCTGTCTAGAAATCATCTAAGTGTGGTTCAATGACTTGATCTGGGCTTGATTGAACTCCGATTGGGCTAGTTTTCATATTATTAGGTCTGTCTCATCAAGCCGGTCAATTTGACTATAAGTTTGTTGAAATTGGAGCTCTAGATGACTTTTTATCAAGATTTGAATATTAATTGCTTAAAACAATATTAATTGCTTAAAATATCGTATTGAGATTTGTGTCGAATGATGAAAATTTGTTGGTGGTGTATCAATATATATTAATATAGTATGGAGCGGGAGCCGGTTGAAGTAGTGGTAGACTATGAACAACCACTTTCCATCTACCGGTACTCAACTCGATGGTTGTCAACCAATTACTGCAGCAGGAGTAGTCTGGGAAGTTCACTGAGGAACACTAGGCCCTCAGATGCCCAAGAGGCTAAACGGGAGGTAGCAATTCATTCTGGCAAGCTGAGAGCCCGCGTAGCTGCCCATGCAAAGTTTGTCAACCCCAAAGCCATTGTTGTAGCGTGCTGAGACACCATGAATAAGGCACATTTCCGACGAGCACATTTAGTTGGTTATCTAGAGAAAACCTTTACTTTTTATATTTATGACGGCTCATCGACTATTTTAAGGGCATGGCTAAATCATTTTTCATTAATTTGTAAACAAACTGATATTCCGACGATATAAACTTACTTGTGCATGACCAATAATTTTATGTCGTAACCTTTTTATAGTAATTTTAAAGCGTCAATTTTAATTGTTCATATAACCGATAATTATTTCGTCCCCAATAGTGGCAACTTGCACGTCAGAAAGTGTCATGCTCCTTGTTTTTTTTTTTTACTCAGGCTTACAATCGGTTAGGCGTCGCTAATGAGCCGATTTTTATAACCGACGAAGAAACTGTAAAAAAAATGTCGGGGCCATCTTTTTCTTATGACATTAATAAGTCGTCGGTTCAGTGTCGATTAGGCGTCGATGAATAAGTTCACCGGCAAGTGCTCAGCTATTGTTATTAATATGTAAAAGATAGTCATCAAATAAAATATATATAAATTCATCACACAGGAAACATATATATATATTTAAATGCATCAACAATATATTGAGTATTCTCTTTTGTCTTTTGTGATTGCAGGTGTTGGGCCATTGATACAAAAGCACATGCAAGACAACTTCACAATAGAAATAAGGAAAAAATAATAAAAAATAGAAAAATATAAACATAAAATTTAGGAAGCATAAATTCAATTAATTTATTCAACCAAGATTGTAACATAAGATCAAATATTCTCATTTTGTCAAGCACAACAAAGTAACATAAAAGGAAAAAAAGAACTAGAAGAAAAAATGGAAAACAAATTATTTATCACTAATCACTCACATACATGATATAAAAGTTCAACCAAATAACACCCTAAACATTAGCCACTCACTCATTAGCCTTCTTTAAAGTGTTTGCCACATCGATCACAAATCGATATCTGACATCTCCCTTAGCAAGTCGGTCCAGCGCTGTGTTCACATAGCTCATTGGTATTAGCTCAACTTCAGCAGTTATATTATGTTCTGCAGCAAAATCTATCATCTCTTGTGTTTCTCTCATCCCCCCAGCTGCAGAACCACTAACCATCTTTCTTCCTATGGATTAATACATGAGTTATGTTCAGAAATCATAGGTTGATCTTATAAATAAAATCAAACCTAAGTAAGAACCATTAATGCTAAAAAAAAAAAGTTGATATATTGAAAAATCTTACCCAAAAGAAGAGGAATGGAAGGAACTTGCAGTGGTTCCTTTGATGCTCCAAGCACTACTAATTTACCATGTGCCTTCAACAACCCTAATAATGGTTCTATTGAGTGATATGCAGATACTGTATCAATGATCCCATCCAAGCTACCGATAGCTGCCTGTAAAAAAATAGGTAAATAAACACAATAAAATTTACAAAATAAAAGACAAATTATATATATGTACCCTGATTTGCTCCTCATTAGTGCTAAGAAGAAATTGATCAGCTCCTAAGAGCTCAATTGCCTCCTTTTGTTTGCGTGGTGAGGTACTAATGACCATAACTTTCATTTTCATAGCTTTGGCAAACTTAACAGCCACATGGCCGAGACCACCGAGCCCAACAACACCGACATGAAGCCTCGGTTGATCGAGGCCGAAGTAGCGCATTGGGCTATAAACAGTGATGCCGGCATAGAGCAGCGGCGCAGCAGAGTGGAGTGGGAGTTGGTCGGGGATGTGGAAGACATAGCGCTCATGAACGACGATGGTATCGGAGTAGCCGCCGTAGGTGGGCAAGCCATCATAATCGGTGGCATTGTAGGTCGTCACCGCTCTGTGACAATAGCTTTCAAGGCTCTCTTCGCATTGCTCACAGTCGCCGCAACTTCGAACGAAGCAACCGACACCACCTTTATCTCCAACCTTAAACTTCTTCACCTTGTCTCCTGCTTCCACCACCTCGCCGATGATCTCATGCCTGGTTTGAAACGTCAGATTATAATTCAATATCATTAAAAAAAATAATAATAATAATAAAGAATTGTTGTGTATTTCTTATTGAACAAAAAAACAATGGAAGCAAAGGATACCCTGGAACGAGAGGATAGGTGATGGGGAAGTCGATATCTTGTTTGGACAGATGGAGATCACTGTGACAGATTCCACAGTAGAGTATTTTTATTCGGACATCGGATTCGTCAGTGGCTCTGCAGAAGCAAATAGTGAGAGATCGATTGATGCTTGATTAAATAAATAATAATAATCATACACATAAATTTTATTTGAATCATGTCTGTTTAACTTAACTAATGAGTCAGTAATTTTTGTCATACCTTATGGTGAAGTTGAAGGGGGAGAGGATGCCGGAATTGTCTCGGGCTGCCCAACCGAGTGCTTTATGATGAGTGCTCGTCTTCTTCTCGGCAGCCATTGCAGCTTGTAGATCTCTTAATTCAGAAACTGCGATTTTGGACGTACAAGAATCAAAATAGAAACTTAATTAGTATTAAAATAAGGAATTAATCAGACTTTGTACACTGATCCTTCCCTGATATTCTCAATGACAGTGATGCCATGGATGGAAAGCATCTCTTAAAATGCTTCATGTGATGAAAGCATGCAAGCTGTATTGCTCAAATTTATAGCTCTGAAAGTGATACCAGATAAAACAAGCAGCTCTGTTTTTCATTATTCCGTGTGCCATTTGCTCTTAACTCAAAGCTTGATGTCAATTTCAATTTAAGGAAATTTGATCATCATGGTTCACAGGCGAAGCATGAAAGTTCGAAAAGCACAGAAATATAAATTTATTCATGCACGGCTGACAAATATTCAGTGCCATAAATATTCAAGACAGTAGCGTAGTGCAAAAGTTCAGCAAAAGTTCAGTATCCGTCACTTTCATGAAAAAAGCCTTTGGGTTTAATTAATCTCTTATACATGAAAGAAACGGAGGAACCAAAATTTAGGAGAAGGGTGAGTGTCTAGTATTTAGGTTTAAGAGTTTCCCTTCTTAAATTATCATAAACATAATTATTAAATTTAATATAAATTTAATATTGAATTATCATTACGTATTTAATTTAGGTGGAGCAAATTTTTTTATTTATCATGTTATATTAAAAAGTTTAGTAAATATTTAAGGGTGATGAGTACCTCCCCAATTACTCACTCCCTTTTCTCCCCATTCCATAAGAAAATAAGTTTACATTTAGAAAGTTTTAGCTATGCATTAAAATGTGCATTTCATATTGTAATAATAGTAGCATTTTTTATGTGAGCGTTGTAAATAGAAAATAAAAAATTTAGGTGTTGAATCTATAAACAAATAGGAATTATATATGTGGTATGTATGCAAGTGCCCCCATATAAAAGATTTACAAATGATCATGATTATATTTTAAAATAATTAGTTATTTTTTATGATCACGTCTAAGTAGGTTGCTTAAATTAAACAATGCTTAAAAGCCATGATGATTATTTTTTATTTATTTACTAGAGTGACTGATGTGCACCACCCCGATCTTCACCTAACTGTTGGAAAAAAGAAAGAGTCGATGGTGGCAGCAAACCCAATGACTCTTTCGTGGACTCTTCTTCCGCGAAATAGTAGGAACAGAATGTTGTTGTCTTTGTAGTAAATGTGCTTCACATATTTATCTTTCTGATAAAAAAACTTTCATCACAGTTCTCTTCAGTTTATTCAAAAATCTAAAAAATAAATGCTGCTTCATACAAGTTATCAATATTCTTTATGAATGAGTGACTAAATAACTAGTCCCATTGTAATTAACTCTCAAACGGATACATCCGACGGTGCCGCACTTAACCTCTAATTTATGCCTCATGTGGTAAATGTACGGTGAGATACTCCTTCGAGTCGAAGAAATTAAGCGAAAATAATCTCTCAAGCTTGCAAAGTATTACAAGAATGTTTGCTTCTAGCTGGTGTTTGTCATCAAGCTTCAAACATGTTGAGCATAGTTCCCTGAAGAACATAATGATTTCAATCAATGAAATAAAGACTTTACTCGACAAACAGTCAAAGTCGGTTGGCATAAAATTTTGTAAAATAATATGGCAGTCTTGTCTTTTCATTCCAAAATTTTTTTAACACCAACATAAATACAATGACTCAAATTCGAATCATACTCATTTAAGAATTTTATTGATTGGAGTCACTCACAAAATGTTCTTCGTTGGGACAAAGTGAGGGAATATTTTACCTTGGGCTTAATGAGGTTACCAACGACAGTCGCTTGGATCTCAAAACCCGGCCTTTTGCATATTTCTTTCAAATCAAGTCTGACATTCACGTTATCCTTCATTTTTTCATTAACAGTCATCATAGTGTTTGAGTTATTATCGTTTTTTTTTTTTTTGATGTGCATGATACCTAGATTGTATTTGATCATGTTATTCTTCTAATAAGGCATAACCCCAAAATTTGACTTCTTTTTTCAATTATGAGTGAGACCAAATCCGGGTGGATGATGTAAAGAAATGTTAGGGCATACAAGAATCTTTAGAATTTAATCATGCTTTCAACCGAACATCCCATTAATCTAAAAACAAATATTATGCGCCATAGAACATTGTAGGTCTCCACCACTATCTTATAAAATTTTTCCTTAAGTTTAAGATGTACTTTCTATCACACAATAGGTTGGATGCGTTCCTCCACTTCAACCAACCAACTTGAAATCTACTAATTAATCACATTCCCATCTATATCACCTTCACTTTGAACAACGGACTCGAGATATCTTGAACGTTCACACATTTTAAATGATTTGATCATTTGTGATTACAACTCTTCCACTAGAGCTACTACTACTAAAATTACATTTCAAGTATTCAATCTATAAATGTTTAGTAACAACATCCATAACTAAAGTTAAAACAAATGTGCTTAAAGCCGATCCCTGATGTAATCCAACTGAAATAGAAAAATATTTGGAAAATCTCCTAGCTGCTAATCTCTAAACTCTAAATGTATTCTTCAAATCAAATGAAAATAAAGATGAAAATGAAGATAATGGGTTACATTCCTTAGTTGTTTTGGGTAGCAGAGGAGCAGAAGGAGGAGAAAAATGGGAGTTTCCCGTCACTGTGAGTCGCGATCCTGCTGTTGTGTTCTCAGCTAGCTCCTATTCAAACAAAACAAAGAGAAAGATACGAGGGTTTTGGGGAGAGGCGAGGGCTTCGGGTATAGAAGATGAGAGGCTGGAAGGTGAGATTAGAGAAAGATTTGGAGGGAGGTGTTTTCAGGCTGGATATAGAATTAGTACTGATGACCTATAAATCTTTTTCATCCTGTCGGTTATTAACATTATTACCAACGACCATTTTCCTTTCTTAATAATAAAATGTGTCGGTTAAAATCTCGCTAAATTGCGGGTTCGAAGATAAGCAACGAATTATAGCCGTCAGTTAATATTTACTTTTAATTGACAGATTTTTTCGTCCGTTATAAATAAAAACAGTTGAAAAATAAAATATTATGATTAAGCGATTCACATATATCATACTTATGCTGGTGCAAATAATCAATAACAGAAATAATTGTAAAAGTGTCCGTAAGTAGAATAATTTTCCTGCAGTCACTCCCCTTTCCCTCATGAATTCACGTGAAATCCGTCTCCTTTCCCTCTCATGTTTCTTCTACGTATGGCAGCCTTCTCCTAACATTTCCTTAATCCATGTGTCCCTTCTCTAATTTTCCTTTGTATCTGGGCTAATGGTGCCGAAAGAAGGGGAGTTTTGGGGGAGGTTGATGGAGAGGATTGAGGATTTTGTGTCCGGATTGTTGCTGCCGCTTTAAACACATTATTTTAAGTCGAGCAGATTGGAGACAAACATGGTGACGATTAAGGGAGGAGAAGCATGGGGATTGCTTGCGCTAGTTGTCGGCTTGTGTGGGGAAGATCCTCGGGACCTTTGTGGTGGCGGTGGCTTGCCGCATGCCGGTGAGGGAGGCGCTTACACTTGGAGTGTTGATGAATACCGAAGGCCTTGTTGAGGAAAAAATATTACCTCACATCAGTACTCCTAAGGTAATATTTTTTCCTTGTTGAGCTGATAGTTCTCAACATCGGCAAAGAAAAGAAGGTATTATTATCTGAACAAGTTAAATATTTAAAATTAAAAAAAAATTAAATGGTTAAAAACTGAATGAAGAATTAATATTTGATTATTTATTTTTAAATTGCAACCGTTGATGTGCTTCCATTAATGTTCCTTGCATCCATGTTTAAAAAAGGTAAGTTGAAAACCAAATTATCTCGTGCAATCTTGGCAAAAGCAGACTGAAAAGAAAATAAAAAATAAAAAAGAAAAGTAATACATAACTCCCAATTCATATGTGTTTAAATGGTTGAGTTTTGGAGCCCGATCTGACCGTTCCCACCCCGCACCTTTCACGTTACGCTCACTCCCGCCTCCCTTTCGCGAAAGGTAGCGAACTACTCCCGTCTCCCGATCGCGACCCTGCTATTTCGCGAAACCACTCCCGCCTCTCTGTTTCACGTAACGTTGCCTCTCTCGTGATAAAGGTATCGCACAACTCTCTTTTAGTTTTATAAGTCACGATCTTTTTTGTTCTTCTTTGGAATTTTTCACGGGACAGTGGAAGGATTCCGCCGGAGACAGTGGAAGAGAAGTGCAAGAAGTAGTTCATTGCGGCAGAAGGAAGAAGAAAGAAGAAGAAGAAGATTGTTATCTCTTGTCTTCTTCTTGGTGGCTTGTGGCAGAAGATAAAGTGAGTTTATTTTCTTCGATTTATCTCGGTGTAGAGCTTATTCGATGTATCTCGGTGTGGAGATAGAAGAAGAGATAGAGAAGAAAAGTAGGGAAGTGAGAGAAAGAGTTCGCTCTTATAAGTTGAGACGATCGACTGGTGTAAATTCCGCGAGTACTAAAATCCTCTGCAACTACATAAACGTAAGCAATTTGTCGAACCACGTAAATCTGTGTGTTCCGCAGTGTTACTGTTTTCTAGTGTGATTTTTCTCGGTTCATTTTTCGCAACAAAGATCATTCTCTTATTTTATTTCTATATATATACCACAACAACTGGTATCAGAGCTTTGTTCGGATCTGAAGAAGAATGATGGCTGCAAATGAAGTAAGGGTTTCAGGGATCGAGAAGTTTGATGGCACAGATTTTAGTTATTGGATGATGCAAATAGATGACTACCTCTATGGGAAGAAACTTCATCTTCAGTTTTTGGGGAAAATACCTGAAAGGATGGCTAAGGCAAAATGAAATTTGTTAGATCGAAAAGTTCTAAGGGTTATTTGATTGACCCTCTCGAGGTCCGTTGCACACAACGTCGTCGAGGAGAGGACGACTGCAAATTCCATGGCAGCCTTATCAGGTGCGTATGAAAAGTCATCGGCTAATAACAAGGTGTACTTGATGAAGAAGTTATTGAATTTAAAGATGGCGGAAGGAGTTTTTGTTGCTTAACACTTGAATGATTTCAATACTATCACAAATCAATTGTCGTCTGTTAAAATTGATTTTGATGATGAGATATGTGCACTGATATTGTTGGCATCGTTGTCAAATATTTGAGATGTGA